TATGAATTCAAGCCGGGCGATCGTGTTGCCGCATTCCACGAGATGATGAAGCCAGGCGGCAGCTATGCAGAGTACGCAGTCGCGTGGCAATACATGACTTCTCACATACCAGACAACCTTAGTTTTGAGGAGGCTTCGACGATTCCTTTGGCCGGACTGACAGCCGTAGTTGGCAACTACATTCGGCTGGGATTGCCTGAGCCATGGAAACCTGCAGCTGAGAAAGTACCGTTTCTTGTCTACGGCGCAGCATCGGCTGTGGGTGCATTCGCGATTAAACTGGCGCGCCTGTCGAACATCCACCCTATTATTGGCGTAGCCGGAAGGGGGATTCCGTATGCCGAATCGCTCATCGACAAAACCAAGGGAGACGTGATTATCGATTACCGCAATGGAAATGAAGCAGTGGTGGCTGGAATCAAAGATGCTCTCGAAAACGCTGGAGCCTCGGATATCTACCACGCCTTCGATGCCGTATCCGACAAGGGAAGCCACACTGATGTGGTCGCTGTTCTCGCACCGGAGGGCCAAGTCACCTATGTTTTCCCTCTGGAACAAACAGCCCCGCCTGGGTTCAGCTATCCCAAAACCTATAAGTCTGCTCAGTTCAGCAATGTTGGGGACGCTTATGGCGAAAATAGACAGCAAGGATTCATGTATCTTCGATGGCTATTCCGGATGGTGATGGAGGGAAAGTTCACAGCGCATCCACACGAGGTCGTTCCAGGCGGACTTGCAGGGGTGAGTCAAGGACTGCAGAACTTGAAAGCAGGAAAAGCGAGCGCAGTAAAGTATGTCTACAAGGTACCTGACACAGAGGGTGCCGGACAGGATTGAAGGGCACAGAGTAACTACAGTGTACCCCACGGGTGAGCTGTTTATGATTCTAAAACCCTAAGAAACCATTACTCTACACGAAGGAATTTTAGTACACCATTCTGTCTGGAATCTGTTGCTGCATATTGCTTACATATAGGTGCGTTAAACTCGTTAAGAGCTGTTGAGATATAGTAGAGTAAGCGCTTACGATAGCCTTCCTTAGCTCTTCTCTATCCTCGTCTCTGGCAACCTTGCGCAATAGTGTCTTTATAGTGGTAAAGTTGTGTCGCGTTGGAGTTAGATGAAGGTATTTATGATTTTTAGATAACGTCTATCGGCTGTAAGCGAGAAATGCCCCTTAGCAAGATAATTAGTGTTACGAACCTGAAGAGAGGGACACGGATGACTATGTAAGAAGAAGATGGCAGGAAGATACCCAGATGTAACACGAGATGGCAAGGCTGAGCGAGAAGGACGATTATAGTCCCAACATGTTTGCTTCTCTCGCTTTGCGCCTTAGCCTAAGAACCTGTTTATAACCTGCGCCCCGCGTGTAAGGAGATAGGCAAGAATTGTTCCTACTAATTAGGGATGTTCGAAGAGAAAGAGTCGAATTTAATCTTGGTGCGAGGTCATATAGCATAACCAGCCCTCCGATGCCTGCCGATCGGGGTGGATCTCTGCGAGCGTAGCGTCTCGCATCCTGACTACATGCTCTAGCAGCCTCACAGCCTCCTTGATCTGTCCATTCGCTTCTTAGGAAACACTAAGCGCATGCTTAGACGACAGCCGATCTGGATCATCTTCGTCCAGCCCCTCTCTGCAACGGTAGCACTCCTCTAGCCATCTCACTGCTTCTGGAACTCTACCGTCGAAATATAGGCATCGTCCCACCCGAAAACTTATCTTGGCTCTGCTTTGAGCATTAACAGATGTTTTTGTGTCGAGTAGTCGCAGTGCGTGCGGCATGTATGCTCTCTATACGGCCTGGTTGGCAAAGTCGTCGCTTGGGAAGACCTCGGCAACATGCACTATAGCTTGTTGAGTCACATCTGCAGCACCACTATGCTTGTCTACCCAGATTCTGGTAGCTAGATGCACAAGCCGATGCAGGTCGTACCATTCTTCTCCTCCATCGACCTCACTAATGTTGTCGCCTTCCCGCCTCGACACAAAAGAGTACCCACAGAGCGTGCCGATAGCTTCTTCTATCCGCTCTTGCGACTGCATCTCTGGTAGCAGCGACTGCGGTATTGCCTTCCACTTAATGCACGACATGAACGGCGCATGTACGGTTTGTTGCCGGGTGAACAACTTCAATGATCAGTCAGTTCATGAACGCGAGATGGGTAGAGCAACAGACCAGGAACCGCTGCCATTCCCACCAATAGTAGCGAGCAGCTGCTTGGGCTCGAATCTCATTCTCCATTGTGGGATCGAGTGGCAAGTAGCAAAGCAGATGAGGTTCTACCGAGGTGGGCAGAGCATAGTACAGCCTGCTGAGGCCTTGCAGGCTGAGGAACCTTTTGTGATGACCATGGATTGATTCTGATGCTGTCAAGGGTGACCAAATTCAGAATACAGATGTGTTACTATCATTAGGCTGTTACGGCGCTTGTTTCTCGGTAGGTAGCTGACATCTGGGGTGGTTACAACCTCAACGAGTCTACGCCACACGTTTGCATATCACATGCATACAGCGTTTAAAGACGTGGCAGTGCACCAGTATAAAATTTGACCTATGCGGGTTTATTTACATGTGACGTTAGTACGCGATTAGTCCGTAGTATTTAAGCGACACTGTACCGCAATGCGTACAGCCTCGCTGTCCTCTGCGAAACGCTCCTAATCTCCAAACCCTCCAGAAATAACTATGAGATCCACAGCTACGCCATTCGCACTAGAGAATTACCTGTAAGGATGAGATTTAGCTCGTAGTGCTGCTAATTTAACGTACCATTCGAGTGCAGCAGGGCCATTGGGTGCACTTTCCGGTATTCGAAGTTTTGCTATCTGGTCGCCTGGACAATTCATTGGGTTCGCAAGTACAGACAGTGGCAAGAACGTGTCGTTCTGGAAACTCAATGTGGCTTGGCAGCTTGAGTTGCGGAAATTGCTGAGCCTATTTTTTGGTGAGAAATCTACCAGACTTTTCCGCGTACGGGGCCTACTGGTAGTGAAGCTCTTCCCCAGCTTTCGCATGGACCACCGGGCTCGTAAGAATCGGCAACATTTGATCAAAGGGGATAATTTGGGCGGAGCACAAGCTCAAAAAGAACCACGTATATACCAGCATATTAGACAGCGCAAAGGTTTAGGGCGGGCAAGTTCTGCTGAGTATATGTGTAATGATGATGGTGCTGTTGGAGAGATTGCCACCGCCAGCGAATCTTATATCACTTCAAGTCCTCCATAGTCCAATCGAACAGGATTCCGCATTTCTTGATTCGCGAATCCTGTCCTTTGCGACATGTTGCCGTGTTTACGTTGTCTAATGTGGCACGGTATCCTGCTCCTGCTCCCGGCTCCAGAAGCTGTTTCGTGTACACCATTCATGTAGGCACACGTGCGCATATATGGCCCAGAGAAGGTACCACTGGAAGATTGGTCACTTCGAGCATGTACCCCAGCTATCCAGGCTACACGCGCCATGACCATCTTTCTATCCGATTTGCAGTCCCCAATCAGCAAATAGTAAGGATCATCCTCAACCATTGCGAAGACGAAGATAATCTGCGGTTTAGAGCTGCAGGCAACACCTTGTATCCACGAGTCCGCGAGCTCGCGCGTCTGATGTCTCGACATCGTATTCAGCTCACGACCATGAAGACCAGCGAACTCGGTGTCACTCTTTTTCTACCCCCGCCACCATGTCCAGCCCCTAAATCGATCTTGGCGAGACTCTGTCCCCGCCTCAGAAGACCAAAAGCGTATTCGCCTCAATTAGAAACAATTGAGGAAGGGCCAGAAGATCCGCCAGAGGGCGAGTGGATCACTCTATATGAATATATGCCTGTCGACTCGAAACGGCGTGTGATGTACGTAGTCTCGGATGAGCCTTGTGGGTCTATACGATTGCACGCATAGTAAGGGACCAAGGCAATGTAGGTATTGTTCTCCTGACGTGCGTCGGCGTATTCGTAGAGGGTTTGCTGGTGCGTTCGTGGATGGTACGAAGGCCTTGATATGGAGAAGACTGGACTAGGGGGGTAAAGGCTGCCACAGGTCAATGAATTGAAGCCTTGAGAGGTACTAGGCGTGACAGGAGATAGTGTTCCGTTGCAGTCCCTTTGAATGCTCCTAGCTCAGATCCAATATAGAACTCAAGTTACATGGATACAAAAATGACACCATCGCGTAAGGGAGATAGTGACAAGACGCGTGTGGAGGTTGTCGATGCGCGCGCGTGTGTGTGTTCATCGTAGTTCCTGATCAGCAGCACAGTAACGTCCATCCCTGCGTAACGGGACACCCTGCGTGACGGGACGCCGCAGACACTCCCTAACATAACAAACTCCACAACAGGTTAGAAGCATAGATATTCTCGGAATAGTAGCCTTAAGCTATATAAGTCTATTCTCTCCTGACGTCTTTTAGATATAGGTCCTGCTTACTGTGCAATACAACAATTTGCTATGAGCGTCGCACGGCCGCCTCGCTTTAGCTCGCAGTGGGTGCGTTAGAAGCTCGTGCATCTCGTTAAAAGCTCGTCAACTTGCAGCTTGTTATATCACTATCCTATGCCGAGCACTGCGCTTGAGCGCAAGAGGTTGTCGTGCCTCTGTGCTAAATCTAAGTCCGCCTGCTAGAAGTGGCAGATAATGAGGACCCACACACCTAGGTTAAAGCAGCTTAGCTGCAATCTATTGCTGCTGACACTGGATCGGTGGCTATGTGGCTGTGTAGGAGTCTAGATCGGCCATTCTCACGGGGCAGTGATTGGTACTTTCGGTTTCGCTGTTGCCACCCCCCTGCCGCAGCGTGCCGCTAGCGCAGCGATCGAGACCGACGGCCTCTGCGGCGAAATGCAGACTTCAACCGATGACGTGCGGGACGACACCTTGGATATGCTTCTCGTTCCAACGTCGACCTTCACTGCAGTATTTGAAGTCTGAAGGAGTGCGCGCAACCTCGTGGACGCGCTCCGCTCGTTCTGGTGGCCCGGGATCGACACTGACATCATGAGTCGGCCATCAATCGCGCGCGAGGAGAGGCAGCGGGAGCGGGAACAGATGAAAAGAAACCGCGATGTCTTACTGCTCTACGGCTCGGCCTTTGCCAACATCCCCTACATTGAACATGTGCCGAAACATTGCCCACGGCCGTCTCCAGATACTGTCCTTACAGCCCTGTGTCAACTGGCCGCCATCCGACTCAATGCTGAACGATGCATGGTCTCGCTCCTAGACGAAGAAAGCGGTCGCCAACACTGGCTTTCTGAAGCTACGCGCGATCTTGCACTTCGTCCAGAGATGCCAGGAGATGCGCCCGAGACTCTTTGGTTGGGAAACGTGAGTACTCCACGAAGCTGGGGCTTGTGTAAAGAGCTGCTGAGCTTGTCCCCCGAAGACGAACCAGTCTTCTCCATCGACGATCTTACCAAAGATGGAAGATCCACCTTCCGAGACCACATCAAGGGCATCCCTGAGATGCATTTCTTCGCTAGCACGGCGCTCAAGAGTCCCAATGGTTGCATCGTCGGCTCCATGTGTGTCTTTGACGGCAAGTCACGTGATGGGTTAACCAAAGAAGAGGTTGTTCTCTTACGGGGTCTAGCAGCCACCGTTATGGACCATCTTCATACATACACGGTTCAGGATTGTTACCGGCGCGGGGAGCGCTTCACTCGCGGCCTTATCTCATTTGCCGAAGGCGCTGCAGTCATATCGCCACTCGACACAGGCAGCAACATCGATCCCACCCAGAAAGATGCAACGAATGTAGTACATCTACAAAGCACCTCAGCTCATTCACCTCCTAGACCTGACGCGTCTAAACCTGCCATGCCCTCCGTCGACACGAGTATCGCTGCATCTCCTGAAGGGACTGCGAAGCCTACCTCCCCACCTACCTCGCCAGTGTCCAAAACCCGCAGCGAATCTGTCCGAAATCAGGCTATAGAGAAACTTCAAAACGAAATCTTGCCCATGAACGCAAAGTCCATGTTTTCACGAGCTGCCAGTATTATGATGGCTTCCAGCGATCTCGACGGAGTGCTCATTCTCGACGCCTCAGTCGCTGCCAATTACCAGCGACACGGCCCACGGGGCTTTGCAAATGACACTGACACTCCTTATGAGTCCGACATTTCGAAAATGTCCTCTAGTGACAGCGCAAGTGGTACCGATGGAATTGCCTCGAATTGCGCTTCATCTCGTTCAAGCTCAAAAAAATGTCAAGTGCTTGGAATGGCGACCTATGACCGGATTGGCGAGGTACAGCTCGCAGATATTCTTGAAGCAGACCTTGGACGACTTCTCCAGGAATTCCCCAATGGCAAAATCATCACTTTTACTACCAATGGTCTTAGTCTGTCTTCAAATGATGATAGCTCAGATCTGCCTGGTGCTGATGGTGTAAAACCCTCGCAATCTGGGGAGCCACCGAAGCGAACGGCTAGTCAAAAATCACTAAAAGGATCCAAAGCCGTGCAAGCAATGTTTCCTGGTGCTCGTTGCGTCGCCTTCGTACCATTCTGGGACTATGAAAGGTCGAGGTGGTTTGCGGGGTGTTTGTGTTGGAGCAACAATGTTAGGCGGCTACTGTCGC